GTGCATTCTGCGCTCGAGCGTCACTTCTAGCGCTTGAGCCGAACAACTTATTATGTTTGATGCTCGAGCATCAACTCTTGCGCTCGAGTAGACTCTACGTATATCAGTTCGCAGCAGCACCTTTTTACATCACTTTTTCATAACTTTTTCACTCTAAACCCTAGATCAGGACACTCTCTCTCTCTCTAAAGCTCACTCTCTTTCTACTTTTTCACCTAGATCCATTGGTTTCCCTACCCTGGTATCTTAGGAAAAAAGAGTAGAGCATCTCAAGAGCTCCGTTTTGATCCGAATAGATCTTGATTTCGGCATCTTTGAAGTTTCCCCACTTCTTCCTTGGTCTTCTAAGCTCGAGGTAGGGGCTTTCTACACTGTCCTATGATTTTTAACTTAGTTATTTGTTGTTGTTTAAATAACGTTGGGATTTGGAAGATTTTAGACAAACCTAGGGTTTGGGTTTAAAATCAAAAGAGGGGTTTTCAAATAAAGTTATTGAAAATGGTAATGAGTATAGATATGAGGATGTGTTGTGTTAAATTTGTCGATTTTGACACATGGGTTGGATTTGGGAGAGAATGGAGTTTTGCCCTAAAATGTTTCAAATAATCATTTTGTATAAATAATGAAATTGGTATTGGAAATATGAAATTAGACGAATGTTTATATCAATGGTGGAGTTCGATGTGTATTATCTCTCACCTATGGAAATTTGGATAATTTATCTATCGTGGAGATTGTATATCTATTTAGAAATATCTATTTTGGGCTATCGGTGGAAGATGACTATGATTGTTGTAGAAATTGCATGAGGATTAGGTGAATTGAAACTAATCTCTTATTGGTTATCATTGAATATGATTGTGTTTTAATACATCGTACATGTATGATGTTTGGGAGAATAAAAGGGACGTACTCCATGTTTGGGAGGAGAAAGGGGATGGACTCCGCTGAATTAAGTTGGCCTGTGTGTCCAAGGTAAAAGTCTCAAAAACCACGCGTATACATGGGTGCCGATTCCCGCGAACAAAATTTTCGTAAAATGGGAAATTAAAGTGTTTATGTAATGGTTGTATTGATTAGAGAACCATTAAGTTGTAGCCTCAGTTGGGTTTCCTAGATAATGATGAATTTGACTTGAAAAGAATTGAGATAAAATGGATTGAGATGTAGAATTCGGCATATTATGATTTTGTGGAATACAAATGATTTTACTTCATGCATTGCATATGCACATTATACTTATATCTTTCTTAAGATTCATATATTGTATAAGATTGTTTCTACTGGGTTTTGGCTCACCCTATTTAGGAAAAACCATTTTCAAGTGTTGGAGATATGCCTTCGCCAAGACAATAGTTTGGGGAGACTTGGAGCAACGACTTCTTTTTCATTGTATTTATTTTGTATAGCCAAGAGATTAATTGTACTGAGTTAGACTCATTTTGTTGTAACCAAGCAGTGACTTGGAAAGATGTAAGCCACTAAGGCATATGACTAATTGTATAGCTTCCTTTTGTTATCATCTCATAAATGTATATTAAACTCTAATGAATGAAAATATGTCGTTTCACTTATACTACTGGTTATGAGATGGGTTGATTGTATTTATTTTGGGGCATTACAGAATGTACCTTGAGATGATTTCCTCGAAATGTAATGAAATGAATTGAGAATTGAGGTTTCTTACTAAACACTTCGATAATTTATAAAATTTGAAAAAGTAAACATTGTTATTGATAGAAAATGAATTTAAGCATCCAATATATGTAGTGTCATTATCAAATGGTTTTGTGGATACATACAAATTAGTAGGCGTAAAGAATTTTTTTACTGGATTACATGTTTACCCTGCGTGGTTAATAAATTTTTAGGTGTTAAGGACGTGCCACAACCTGGAGTTAATGTCGGATATGTGCCTGAGCTAGAGATAACTCTGTTGATTGTTGGCCTATGGCCTTTATATTTTGTAGGTCGAGTGCCTATATTTTTGGTAAGGGTTACACATTTTTTTTTTATATAAGCCTAAAGGCATCTCTTTTGTAAAAATATTGATATTTTTTATTTACATATTGTATATTCATGCCATATAGAATATAGAAGGCATGTAATAAATATATTTCATGTATTAAATGATACGCACATACACAAAGAATGATATTTTATTTTTAGTATCTATTGTCTTTCTTTTATTGTGCTAAACTATTCTTTTTGGTTTAAATCTCGGAAATTTAGGCGGTGACAACATTTATTCACGTGTCACTTATTTGTCCATGTAATCTATCTATTTGTCCATATTACGACCACCACTAGTTGGCACCTTCGGCGACATTTTTGATCATTTTTCTGGCAAATTTTTCTTGCATTGGTGGTGGTGTGGGAGTGATCTAGCATCAGTGGGATAAATTAGAAAAAAAATTTCCTCAAAAAATAATTTGTCATTTTTACCAAACAATTTCATTACTCATTTCCTTATTTCCATAAAAGAGTCAATCGCAAGTTGCTTTCAATCACTATTTCTCTTATATTCATATTCAATTACAAAAAAAAAAATAGAAATCATCACAAACTACAAAACTTCAAACTATAAAACTCCAATTACAAAATTACAAAACTATTTTGAAAATATATAACCAAACAAATTGCAGATTAATGAAATTGTTTGGTGACTTTTTTCTTTTTATGGAAATAAGGATAAGATTAATGAAATTGTTTGGAAGCACACAGAATCATTCATTAATTTCATTAATCACAGATTGCATTTGTTTCAACGATAATTATGATTTTAAAAAATAAATTACAAACACAAATGCAAATTGATTAAGTGATTGTCAATATCCGATTAACATAATTTTTTACAAGTTAATATACTTGATGAACTTTACACATTGAATCATTTGAATTATCACAATAAGTCCGGAATTAGAACCATCGCGGCCAAACAGCATTTTTGAACCGGAGAGGAGCTAAGACCTATTCTAAAAGGAACAACAGTGCTGGGGACTCCCAGTGAGGGGTGACCCCTTTCTCCTCCACCCCCACCACCCCCACATGGGGGTTGGTGATTGAAAAAAAAAAAAAAAAAGTTGACCAATGAAATGCCACTGGGGGTGCTGGGGTCACCCCCACTGGGGGTCCCAGCACTGTTGTTTCTAAAAATTGCTCTTGAGCTGAGGCTGAGTCAGCAACGTGTCAATATCACGTGTTCCTTTTTCATCAAAACATATATGGTAGGTAACAATTGGATTACATATATAAAAATAAAAATTATTAGTTGATGCTGTAAATTAAAAAATATATTGTTTTAAAAGCAAAGTAAAGACATGGCCATACATGATAGTTTATCCTAAAATTATGTACGAAAACAAATTTACGTGTACAATTATTTGTCATTGTTTTTATATGGTTAAAATACAATTATACAATTATTTGTCATTATCACCAAGAAACTAGAATACATTAATTTATTTGTCATCACACCAGCAAGAAATTAAGAAAGAAAGTCCAAGGAAAATAAAGAGAAGTGGGCAAAACAACCCCTCCTTATCTCCGTGATGTTAACATAAATGTCAGAATATAAACCTTACACTTTGGATCATTTACCATGTGTATTAGCAAGAAATTAAGACAAAATGACATACCTGAATCTATTGATGAACGGTTAAACGGAAGCGTCTGCTTGTCAATAAAACCTTAATATTGACTTTGTTAGAGGCTTCTAATCCTTTCCCTTTTGGTGCCTTATGTTTCTCCTTGAGAGGATTTAGAAAAACAAAACAGTATTCTTATTTTTTCACCTTGGGAAGGAATAGGGACCATAACCTTTTAAAGGTTGTAATTGGTTTTCATAACTGAAAGGTAATGAAAACCAATAAATTAACCATTATTGGTTTTAAAACTGAAAGGTAATGAAAACCAACTTTAACCAATATGTTTTAATTTCTATTTCTGCCCCTCATAGAAATAAAAATTATACAACTAGTATCTACACATTAGGGCCATAACACATATACCCTTAAGCCTATTAACTAAATTGAATCACTTAAATGGTAGGCTTCTTATAAATGATAACACCACATTTAATTATGCGGTCCCATTGAGACATTATCTAACAAAATTTACATTGTAGATTTTAATCTTTTTTATTTTCATAATTTGTATATAAAAATTTAACTATTTATATTATTTTATACAAAAAAATATTATTAAATTTTTTACATCCTGCACCTAGCACGAGTTGACTACTTCTCTTCATTGATGAAAATTCAATGTATGCAGAAAACACTAAAACTAACATCCATAAAAGAGAACCACCGAGGTGGTGGCCTAATGGAGAAGGCATTCCTTTCCACAGGCGTGACTCAGGTTCAAATCTTAGGGGGGCCAATTTTGCTGCTTCATAATTGGCTCTCTACAGAGATCTCATCGTGTACTCTGATCGAAACCTGGGCTCCAGGGCTCATTTGTGGCGTGTTCCCTATACTCCGATCAAAATCTAGGCTCATCTGTGGTGTATGGTTGAGCTCCGTTGAAGCCTCAGTAGTGGGTCCCTCCTATGGGTTAGGTCAAATCAAGCCGACAACCGGTTATCCTGTGGCCTGAGCCCATGGATGCAGTGATAACACCTCATAGCATCATTTTCTCTATTAAAAAAAAAAATCCATAAAAATGCATTGGGCATCAAAGCGAGACTTTGGGTCAATCTTTGAAACAGCTGGTATATACAGTGTACAAAACGTTTCTAAAAATAAACTTTGGATCTCTTTTCTGTATATTAATTCATTTTTTTTAATAAAAATTAATTTCATTTTGGTAATTAAAATTTTTAATCAATCTTTGACCCTAATTGTTGATGACAGCAACATCATACAATGACCCGACATGTGGCCACTATGAATTGTAATTATAAGAGGTTGATCACTTTCCTCCTCCTTGGCACTAATTCAGTAGAGAAAAGATAGGGATCATGAAAAAACTTTCATGAAATTGGTCATGAAAAATTTATGACCCTTGGATTACCTTGATTAGTGTGTGGTGTTTATTTTAAGTGTAATCCAAGGGTCATAAATCTTTCATGATCATTTTTATGAAAGTTTTTTCATGATACCTAACATTGCTCAATTCAGTATTACTTCCAGTGTCTTAGAAACATAAAGTGCCTCGGGTCATGGAGCAGACTCAACACAGGTTGAACACGGCTGCAGAGGGAGGAGACATCAATGGCTTGTACGAGTGCATAAGAGAACACCCACATATTCTGAATAATATAGATAACATCCCTTTTGTTGATACTCCTTTACACATAGCCGCAGCTGCTGGAAGTACCGATTTTGCCTTAGAAATGATGAACTTAAAGCCATCATTTGGTAGGAAGCTGAACGCAGATGGGCTAAGTCCCTTGCACTTGGCTTTGCGAAATCGGCACTTCGAGACTGTGAGACAGCTCATAAGTTTTGACAAGGAGATCATACGCGTCAAAGGAAGGCAGAGCTACACTGCTTTTCACTACGTAGCCCTAAGAAATGAATTTGATTGTTTGGCTGAATTTTTATGTGCTTGTCCAGCAGCAATAGAGGACCAGACAATTCGAGGCGAGACTGCATTGCATATTGCTGTGAAAAGATCGAATTCAAATTTGTGACCCCGTATATGTTATATAATCTGAAGCAATTCCAATTATATATATACATATATAAATAGAATTGACGGGTCCAAAAACAAATAGTTTTTTTTTTTATGATGTTCAAAATTAAACCGATCAAATCGCAAGATATATCTATATGTATATAAATACATGATGTTCATCCATTTGAAAAATGAACCGCCCATTCGAATTATGTTCTATTTCCAGAAAACAAAACAGAATTTGCAGCAGAGGAAAAAACACAAATACAAAAAACAGAATCTGATTCCAGGAAACTAAATAGGATGAATTAAAGCATATCTATTCTGATAATACACATGATATAACCGCTCTGATACCACTTGTTAACATAAATGTCAGAATATAAACCTTACACTTTGGATCATTTACCATGTGTATTAGCAAGAAATCAAGACAAAATGACATACCTGAATCTATTGATAAACGGTTAAACGGAAGCGTCTGATTGTCAATAAAACCTTAATATTGACTTTGTTAGAGCCTTCTAATCCTTTCCCTTTTGGTGCCTTATGTTTCTCCTTGAGAGGATTTAGAAAAACAAAACAGTAATCTTATTTTTTCACCTTGGGAAGGAATAGGGACCATAACTTTTTAAAGGTTGTAATTGGTTTTCATAACTGAAAGGTAATGAAAACCAATCAATTAACCATTATTGGTTTTAAAATCGAAAAGTAATGAAAACCAATAAATTAACCATTATTGGTTTTAAAACTGAAAGGTAATGGAAAACCAACTTTAACCAATATGTTTTAATTTCTATTTCTGCCCCTCATAGAAATAGAAATTATACAACTAGTATCTACACATTAGGTCCATAACACATATACCCTTAAGCCTATTAACCAAATTGAATCACTTAAATTGTAGGCTTCTTATAAATGATAACACCACATTTAATTATGTGGTCCCATTGAGACATTATCTAACACGTGAGTCATGCATAAATTGTCATAGAATTAACCCTTTAAGTTTGGGACACCAAAATAAATAAATAAATAATATACATTTTTATAAAACATATATGATAATGTATCTTTTTATTTGTACAACTCACGAATTAATTATGAAAAATGAACTAAGTATTATGTGATTTAAAACCTAAAGAGAAGTTGCAATAAATATATTTAAAATGTGAGACTATTTGTATTTTCTGTAAAGTTTAGAGGTCGTAAGCATAATTTACCCAAATTTCATGTGTCAAACATCCCTATTAATAATTGCTTCCCAATTGAACACAAAGATGGCTTCAAAAATGGCACACTTGCTTTGCTTGCTTCTGATTTTGCTGCTTTCTACTTTGATAATTGCTTGTTCCAATCTCGTACTCTGTCACTGTGGTTGAGTCACTCCCAGGATTTGAAAGATCCCTTCACTTTGAACTTGAAACATGGCTTCAAAAAAAAAAAAAATATTCAGTGTGTTTGGTTTCTATTTTTTCAATTCAATTTCTAAAAAATTGAGTTTTTTGTTTTTCATGTTTTTTTATTTTTAGTGAATATTTTTAAAATTTTAAGCATTTTTTTAAAACATTTTTAGATACATCTTACTTAGATGTATCTAAAAAGTAAAATATTTGTAAAAAAATATTTCAAAAAATTAATAAATACATAAAAATATGAAAAATACATTGAAACTTCATTTATTTATTTATTTGTATTTTTGATATTCAGTGAATTTTTTAAAGTTTTTTTTTTACAAAAATTATACCATATAAGTGTATTTATGTTAGGTGTATCTAAAAATTAAAAAAATTGCTTAACATATTAAAAAAATTCAGTAAAAACAAAAAAAATACGGAAAACATGAAAGTAGAATTTTCTGAAAAGTGTTTTTAGAAAACCCATCAAGTTTTTTGAAAAACTAAAAAAACTGAATTATTTTTTGTGCAAAATTAAAAAATTTTGTACTTATAAAGGAGTATGACGATGGAACATTGATGCGCAAAACTAAAAGGAAAAAAAAAATTGATAATGTTCTCAGTTTTAAAGTTTGAAAAAAAAATTGATATTGTTATCGGTTTTATTGCATAGTTTTTTTTTTTTTTTTTTTTTTTAAGAGGGTGGTTTTATTGAATAGTTAAATCAAACCAATAAATAAAATGACAAAAACGTTTAATCTCATAATCTATTTTTTTTATCAGTTAGTAAAACAATTATCTAGAAAATTACTATGTGAAATTGATAACATTCTTAATTTTAAAAATTAAAAAAATTGATAATATTCTTAATTTACTGAATAAAACTTATTGGTTTAAAAACTTTTAAATAAAATCTGAGCCACTAATATTTATAAATAAGACTTCTAAATAATAAATTTTTATAATTTCCTCGTGACCCGCGTGTTGCTGCTAATTGCTATCATGAATAAAAAAAATGGGAAAATAATCCGTGTTGCTGCTAATTGGTATTACGAATAAAAAAGTGGAAAAATAACCACAAGTAGATGATTGAAATTTTTTTGCAAATTCATGATAAAATTTATAAATTTTAATTATTATAATTACAATTTTTTCATATTTATGTAATTATTTTTGAAAATACACTTAAATTGTAATTCCTTATGAAAAATTGGGATAAATTACAATTTAGTTGGATTAAAAAAAATATTTACAAGAACATAAAAAAACAAATTGAGTTAATTACTAAAAAGTCATATTTACAAATGTTATAATAGCTCAGGTCCTATTTAAGATTTTTTGAACCAACAAGTCCTATTTACTCCCTCCGTCCCAAAATATTAGTCCCTTATTCCATTTTTCATTGTCCCAAAATATTAGTCCCTCTTAAAAAATCAAGTACAAAAAATAATATAAATTTTCCATTTTACCCTTTCTTTTAAATTAATAAACAATATAAAAAGTACAATTATGACATTGATATTCTCAAAAAATGTACTATCAAAAGGACAATTTTGGAAAATCAACTTGTTTCAAATGCAATAATTATACTACCAAAAAAAGTTGGATTCCCCAAAAGAGACCATTATTTTGGAACGGATGGAGTAGTAAAATTGAGAATATGATCAATTTTTTTCAATTTTTAAAACTAAGAATATTATCAATTTTGCATAGTAATGTTGTATATAATTGTTTTATTAACTAGTGAAAAAAATAGAGTATGAGATTAAACATTATTACCCTTCTACTTATTGGTTTGATTCAACTGTCTAATAAAATCAATAATATTAGCAGTTTTTTCCAGTTTTAAAACTGAGAACATTATCATTTTTTTTAAAGTTTTTTTATTTTATTTTTCAGTTTTGTACATCAATGTTCCGTCATCATACTCATTTATAGGCACAAAATTTTTAGTTTTGTACAAAAAAATAATTCAATTTTTTTAATTTTTTCAAAAAAAAATTTATTTTTTTTTTGGTGCACATATTTTTTTTTTCAATTTGAAAGTTGATATTTTAAAATTTTGAAATCAAAATAAATGTCAAATCATCATGTTCCTTTATAGATAATCATAAATGATGAACAATTATTGTTTAGAGGATAATTCTGATTATTAAAAATTTAATGAGACTTGAAGGTTCAAAAAATTTTAGTTAGGATTTGTAGGAGAGGGTTCAAGAAAGGAGTTGGAAAATTCGAAGATCGAATTCTCTAGAATATGATGACAGGCTTAGATTTTTCAATAATCTCAACTTAGGAACACAACAATAAAGGAGATGATGGAGATAAGAGATTGGGTGAAGAAGAAGGCAAAATGGCTAGAGAATAGAATAATGGCAAGGCTCTCCCATTGATCTCCCACTTTCACTCTCAAGGTTGATAATGGAGAAGGGAAATTAGTTCTTTCCCAAGAGTTAAAAAATCTCCAAAATCCCTCCCTTGTAAAGCTATGGGTGGGTGCTATTTATAGGCACCTCATGATGTAGGATGGAGCCCATGTGCAAGGCACACACAGATTTCATTTTAATTATCTGACTCTTCATTTTTATAAGTCTCCTGAGTATTGATCATCTACACACACACACACACACACACACACACACACACACACAAATTTATTAAATTGTTATTACATGATTACATTATATTTTCTTGAAACTCAATTAAACAACTAAGATTCATGGTGAAAAGAACATCCCTTTTATTTTCTGAAGTTAAATCTGATAACATCATATATAATAATCATGATTAGATCAATTTAAATTAAATTTTTTTGGAGGTAAATTACAAATACACTCCCTGAGATTTGATTAAAATATGAATCGCCCATGTAGTTTTAAAAATTACGTTTCACCCCCTGAGATTTTTAATTTCATAACAAATCACTTTTTTTATTAATAAATCATCAAGTCAATTAACAGTGTTTAATAATGTTAAAAATATGTTTCAATTAATAATTTAAGTAATTTTATTATTGTATAGGAGAACAATTATGAATTTCATTTTTTTAGTTAATTTTGTTAAATAAAAAATTCTAATAAGGGAGTAGTTGTAATTTTTTTAACCACAGAAATAGTCTATTTGCTGCTAATTGGTATTACGAATAAAAAAGTGGAAAAATAACCACAAGTAGATGATTGAATTTTTTTTGCAAATACATGATAAAAATTTACATAATAAACTGTTTGAGTAGTTAAAATGAGACTTAACCAGATATGTCTGAATTTTTCTTTTAACGGTAGAGAATTTGGTTCCCACACATAACAACAACAATAACAATAATGATAAAAAAAATATTTATGACCACTAATTTAAGAGCACTAGGAGAACACTAATTGGTGGGTTCCACTTATTGATGTGATGTTTTGATCTTAAGTTTTTTTTTCTTTTTTCTTTTTTGAATTTCTACATCATTATAGTCAATTAGTGCTCCTAAATTAGTGGGATGAATCATGGTTGAATAATAAATAATAATAATAATAATAATAAAAAGAAGTTGTTGGTGTAATGATAGCTGAGACGGTGGTGATCACGACATGATAGTTCCATTCTTGGAAACTTAGTGCATTTTCAATTGTTTTAAATGAGGTAGGTGGTGGATGGAAATAATGAAGTGATTCAATTTTTTTAGTAAAGTAGTTGGATGGTTGTGTGTGTAAATGAGGTATTCATGAAGATGGTGAAGTCTGCAAGTTTCTTCATTGCATGCAAAATAAATATAGCAAACTAGTTGTTCATAATCATCCATAAAAATATACAAAGAATTAATAAACATAAAAAAATTCACCAAATACTCAAATTTGTATGGTTGAGGCATACCATCCAAAAGCAATCTGACGTGGAAGATGCATGTTCTTAGAATTTCTTACACCAACGAACATATTGATTTCGTGAATGGTGGATATATATATAAGAATCATGTGTCATTTGTAATATATTAAATGTAGATACAGAATAAGTAAATTAGTTATTCACTAAAGTAAGCTATATATTTTAGGCATCCATATGAGTACTCCAAATCCATATCAGTAGTCATCCTTTCAATTCACACTATGACCATCTAAAATTCAATCTTAAGGACTCATCAACACAATTAATACTTGTGCATTGAAATACAATCATCATATTCACAATATGTCAAAATAATCAATTAAAATATCGTGTAAAATGAATGGCTTTAATGGCATATATAGCCAACTTTAGTTTTATAATTCCAAAATTATATGAGCAATCTATTGAAATATTTTGTTACTGGAATTACTTCAATTCCTTAATGGCTATATTTGTAGTTTTATTTATTTAATTTTTTTTTTTTGTGTGTGTGTGTGTTAGTGTTAATGTAGTAAATATGTTTATAAAAACCACTTTATTAATAGTACATTTCACATGCACACTTTAGAACATCAGTAAATTATCACATCAGTACATTCAAAATTAACACTATTTTTTGATATTGACAAAGTCAACAGACCAATAATACTAGCAAAAACGGATGTCTACTGGTTGAAGAGCACTAATAACAAACACTACCAGCATTTGACTGACAAAAAAAATGATGTGGGTAAATAAAGTTTAAGAGCAACAACAAACACTGATAGCCTCTTTTGCGGAATCACCTCCCAATCAAAAAAGCCAACCAAAAGTTCATGTTCTCGTCCATGTGGTGAAGTTAGTTTTCACCACAAAGATGCCACATATGTTTTATTAAATCATTGAAGAAGGCACAATATGCATTCTTATCTCTAATACCTAAATGACGGGACATAAATGATTGAAAGTCATTGTTACTGCTACACTAAACTAGTGCTGGTGAGTTGGTTGATGAAATTTCATAATCGAAATCAAGATGATCATCTCTCTTATCTTCGACAATCATATTGTGCAATAAAACACAACTCTTCATTATGTTACCAAGCATTTTGGGATCCCAAAAACGTACTGGACCATCTACAATTACAAATCGAGATTAGAGCACTCTGAATGCCCGCTCTACATCCTTCCTTTTTGACTCTTGCATCATTGCAAAATGTTGCTTATTTGCTCCTTGAGGAGAAGAGATTGTCTGAGCCAGTGTTGCCCATTGAGGGTATATACCATTAGCAAGGTAACAACCCATATTATAAGTATGTCCATTAATAGTGTATTGGATAGGCGGAGCTTTACCCTGGGCAAGATCAAAACATATGGGCGACCGATCCAAGACATTCAAGTCATTGTGTGATCCAGGCATTCCAAAAAATGCATGCCCAATCCACAAGTCATAAGAAGCTACTGCTTCAAGAATGATGGTTGGCTTTTTTCTGATGGCCTACGTATTGATCTTGCTATGCTGTTGGACAATTTTTTCACTCCCAATGCATGCAATCTAAACTTCCCAACATACCCGAAAGCCCACGAACCTCCCTAATCGCAAGTAATCTAGCAATATCAGTTGTTGTCGGAGATTTAAGATATTCGGGTCCAAAGATTTCGATTATTGCATTGCAAAAGTGTTTCAAACTTTCAATTGCACCAATTCGTACATAATCATCATCTGTATCTGTTACCACTCCATATAAGATTATTCTAATTACTGAAGTCATCTTTTGAAATGGAGACAATCCGAGGATATGAGTTGCATCTTTTTTTTGAACAAAATATGGATCGTGTGCTTCAATGGCATTCAAAATTCGCAGATACAGAGGACGACGCATTCTAAAACGTCTCCGAAATGTTGAAGGTGAATAAATTAGATTTGCCGCAAAATAATCCGCAAACAATCAATCATGACCCTTCCTTCTATCGTGACGTATGTATTTATGTTCTACAACAGAACCACCTCTTTTCTTTGATCGATCACTTGCTCTCAAAATCTGTATCATACTAGCATTATTTATCTCATAAACACCTATAAGTTTCACAATTTTTTCATCATCAGAGGATGAAGAAGAAGAAGATGAGGAAAATGAAGTGAACAAATAAAAAGTTGAGCTAGTCATTATGCTATGGTTTGTTCCAGATACAACGTTGTTTGTTTGGTTTATATAGTACATGGTTTTATCTGTTTATATCTATTTTTTTGAAGGAAATAATTAATGGAGGCAAAAATAAATGGAAAAGATTTAATGGAGGGAAAAAGAAATGGCAAAGGAATTGAGGGAAACAGAAATGGAGGGGAAAAAAAAAATCATTTTGCTTTTGCTGGTCGACCGGCCGGTCGTCCCCCCAGACATCCTGCGTTTTGATGAAAGCTACAGTAGTCACCGTTGAAGTGGCTGACATCAGATAGAGAAATTGGTCATATTTTACTCAGTTTTGATGAAATTGTTGGTGAACCATTATGCCCAGATAGGCAACCCAAGAGGGGGGTGAATTGGGTTATTAAAAATTTCACAATATTAAAAATAACACAATATTCAGAATTTTAATAAATAAAAAAAATAGAATAATAATTATCAATATAAAGGTAGAAGAGGTAGAGAGAGAAAATCAAACACTGCGATTTATAGTGGTTCGGCACGCCAGGCCTACGTCCACTCCCCAAGGAACCTCCTTGAGAATTTCTTTATTATCAATTGAATAAATACACCACCAAGTTTGTGGATTTGGCACAGGACTTACTCTTATCTATTGAGCCTCACTCAACAATAAATGCCTTACCCTTACAAAATCTCTCACAAAAATAAGGAATAAGAATAAGTGGTAATGAACCCACTTTTACAATAATTCTCTCACAAAGAGTAGATATGAAAGTGTAAGAACAAAAGCTAGACTTAGATCTGAAAGTGAAAGAGAAGAATACAATTTGGAGCTCACAGAAAATTTTCTCTTCAAGTTCTTGATCTTTCTCCACATCCAACACTTCTATTTATACACAAAAATATACCCGTTGGACGCTCCTTGCTGACGTCATGCCTTACATAAGTACGCTCCTGACGTCATGGCTTACATAAGCACACTCTTGATGTCATCGCTTACATAAGCACACTCATTGATTTTGAATAGTCAGTAAAAGATAAAAAAATAAGGCTGATTTTTTCTTTTTGTTTTTTTCAAACATGGAGCCACCATTTTTGTAGACAATTTAATACAAAGTTCACAACTTTCAAACAAACAAATAATTTTCTCCATCTAGTAAATAATATATATATATATACACATATACATAACTCCATCTTGTTCTTCTTGTTTAATTATAATATGATATAATCAATGTAATGTAAAAAATTTAATAGCGCACGTGATGTATTCTGCATATAATGTTATATAAGTTCTGATCAAAATTTTGCATACAGAAAAATCTCTATAAATAATATTTATGATGGATCTGAAAATATATATCCTCTTTAAAATATTGTATATGTTGTAAAGATTTTATACTAAATATTTTACCACTCCATATTAATTTTGTCAAAAAAAGACAACCCATAAATATCAAATAGATCCTCTCCTCTTCTCCCATCAATATCAAATTTGTCAAAATAATATAATTAATCAATTTTTAATTTGGTCAAAAAGTGAATAGTGATCAGCCTCAATTTTCAAAAAGTGAATAGTAAAGTTTTCAAAAATATTTTTATTTAACTAAATATATATATATATATATATATATATATATTCTTTTAAAAAGATAATATTTTGGGTCAAATACATATGTATATTAAAAAATTCAAATTGTTACAAATAATATTTTAGACATCATCAAAATTAAATAATATGATTAACACATTGGAGATGCCCTCAGGTATGATATTTCTTCTGTTCACTTGTTTTGCATATTTTTCAAATGTGTTGGTATCGTTTTAATTTTTTTTTATTTTTTCTTTTCATGTTTTCAAAATAAAAATAAAAAAAAAATTGAAAACACTTCTCCTTTTTATTTTTTCATGAAAATAGTTATTCTTAAAAATTGAGAAAAGTATTTCGGAAAAAAGGAGGCGTTCAAAAAATATGTAAAAAAAAAAAAAAATACAAGTATCCAAACAAGTTTTTTGCATCATTTTTATTTTTTTATTATTTTATTTTTGAAGAAAAAAATGAAAATAGTACCAAAGGTGAAGTACATTATTTTAATCTTTTGTTTGTCCTTTCTTTATTTTCTGTTTACATCGTTTTTTTTTTAAAGGTCATTTTCACTTTTATCTCTTAAATTATCTTCCTTTATTCTATTTCTATCAATTTTGTCTAATTAGTTCCAAGAGTTTCTAATTTGAGGGTAGACTTCATGTAATTGGAGATGATTGTCTATTGAAAATTAGTTTAAAAACTAGTTTATTGGGTAAAATAAACCAACAAAAAACTTAATACTAAAAAAACTAATTTATTATTCTTAAACTTTATGGTTTTATTACAGGCTTTTGAGTAGTTAAAGTTCACTTTTACGAAAAACATGAATTAGTTAGATGAGATAAGACTTTTTAGCAAAATAAACTTTTTTAACCAATAAGTTGACTTTTTAGCCATAGCCAAATGAAGAATAAATTAGTAACCACTAAGGCTAATTTGATGGGCAAAAATATCATTTTAAAATTTAAACAATTTAAATTACACAATTAAACACTCATTTTTCTTGCTCGTTATTTTGAAATAAGGAGTGAAGAAGAATGTGGGTTATTTGGTTACAGGTTGTAAGTTGTCTAGTATAATCTGAGTGACAAGACAAATGGTTGATTAAATGAGTTAGCTTGTGCAGATTATAAAAGTACCTTTTGTACGGACGTATTAGGTTAAAATTCCATCACTATTAATTTGAACATTTTATCTCGAACTGGATCATATGAACTGAAATATAAATAAATAAAACACTGTATAGACTAATGTTGAAAATATAATATAAATAATAAAATTGTCATTCTCTCTAACAACTTGAGCTTTTAGATGAGTTTGTAGTCAACACTTCAATATGGTATCCAAGCAGACAATATATCATGTGTTCGAATCTCACCACCTACTTGATAATTAAAAAAATGTTTGCATGTGTTTGGCTTGTTATGAAGAATAAAAGACAGTCAACGTGTGGGGGGGGGGGTTTGTTGAAAATATATATAAAAGTTATGAATTTTATGAGTTTGTGGTCACACTTCAATTACTAAATAGATGAAATTAATAATTTAAGAATAAAATAAACAAAAATGACAATAGTTAAAAGGATAAAAGAAAGTGAAATTATCCCCCCCCTCCCCCCCGTTTTGTGTTTTTGTGTGTGTTAACAAGGAGGATGACATATAGCTCTAGAATACAGGCTTGTTGAATGTTGTGCTATGCTCGAAAGATGAATTTCTAATCAACCTCTATGATCAACCTTTTATCTTACCCAAATGGATGTGCCACCACCCAAAAGTGTGATCACTTTCAAGTTGCCAAAATTCCACTATGAGACATGGTTGTATCTATTGATACAACTATTTTTATATAAACACCATTTTTTATGGATGCATTGTTTGTTATATTTCTATGAGAAAGTGATTGCTCACTAGCTTGTTTGAAAAATGATCCTAGTGGATCTAGAAATAAAACATGGTATTCAGGTCAGATGTTTACTTCTAAAATTATTGGGCTAATAGCTGCAAGCGTAAATTTTTTTGGGCCAACAAAACATTACCTGTTCAAAAGCACACCTATCTGTCCAAAAGCTTATCCAACTATCTATCTGTTCAAATGTAACTTATTTGTTCAAAAGGTGACACCTATATGTCCAAATGTTACCTATTTGGCTAACGTCACCTATTTGTCCACCTCCTTGTCACAACCACCACCTTCAATGCCCAATGACTTTTTTTTGGCCAATTTTATTGCAACGACAAGTTTTCAACGAATACCCTTATCCCCAAAAGAGATCAAATCTCAGACCAAATAACATATGACCTCATGAGTGTGGACTTTTCACATGCAATTATTTATTTTTCTTTTAGTAACAAATATGCCATACAATGATGAAACTTTAGAAAACAAATATATAATTCACTTCAATAATATAGTTAGTGTCATGTCACTGATATATTGTTGGTGTCGTATAACTTGTGCTTAGTACACGTGTTTTAAAATTGTGTTTTGAAAATAAGTCAAAGATGTAATTGTCTAAGGTTGGAGTTGGTTATTGAACGCGAGAGTTGGTAATTAAAAGTGGTTGCCATCGATGAGAAGTTGGTGGTGGCTACAGATGGTTGTCGACTATGGTGATGGTGATTAGTTGGCAAAGGTCGTTATCGTAGGTAGGTATGGCTTGTAGCCGAGGGAGGTGGTTGCACTACAACAAATTGCACATTTGGTGACTAAAAAACATTTAGTAGCCAAAAGTTATGGAATTGGCGACTAAAAAAGTAAAATATTTAGCTACTAATTTATTTTAGTCGGGGGTATTATTCACTATTGGCGACTATAAAAAATTTAGTCGCTAAAGTTCCATAATTGGTGACAAAAAAAAATTAGTCGCTATATATTGACTTTTGGCTACTAAAATATTTAGTCGCCAAATGAAATTATTATTTTTGTATGACATATTTTGTATGGAATTATTATTTTAGTTTGGACAATAGTTGATTTGTATGGACTTTGATATTTAATGTTATTTATTTTTGGTATATGGATGCAGATTGTGGAATGA